TTTTCTGGTTCACAGTGACATCACACTTCAGTATTCTACAGTAGGCCTACGTCATGATCATTAGGGTTCGTGGGTTGGAGCTCACCCCTCAGTATATCATAAAAGTTTCAGGCACCCTAATTCATTTCAGAAAGAGTTCTATATGCTGCTTGACAACCTGTGCACAAACCCTATGAAACTTGTCTGATAAACTGCACCAAAAAGTGTTTCCTAAATGAGTACCTCAATATGTTCATGGCCAAATTTGACGTTCTGGGACAATTTATTGCATTCACTTGGCTAATAGGTCACTGCAGAGAAAAATTGATGGTGTCCGTACATGGAATTCTTTCCCTTATTCATACTGGAATAATTCCAAGAGGGAGTGACTAGAACCCTACAAACTGCCTTTTTTTACAATATGGAAAAATACATGTACATGTAGATTCATAAAGTTCTCTGCCATTAAGCAGCCTTATGGAAAATGCAGAATGTTTTAATACAATAAGCAAGGATTTTGGAAAACCTTATGGCATGGCCATCAAGCTAGCTTTAGAGCAAATGATAATAAAACATAACAAAACAAAACAATGGGTCAGATTTATTAATTTGAAAAACTAATTTGAAAGAAAGAATAATGTACCAGAAATAGGGATGAAGAAACCATCAACAAACTAATGGAAACTAACCAATAATGCATAATGTAATGTAAGCAACATGAATTCAGTCTCCAGGTTTTTTTACTGGTAGCAGGACTTACAGCTTGCATTTCAATCACCTGCAGTTAAAGCAAGGCCATTTTCCACTACTCGACTTGGGCTCTGTCTCAGGCTTCAACTGTTTTTTTAAATCCTGATTTCCAGTAAGTGCAATGGTAAGTCTGATAGTGCCAAAACACATCAAGATGCAAAAGAGCTAAACATTGTAGTAGTTCAATTTAAGTTAAAATGCTTCAGGCCCACAATCGGGGATTGGTTTTCTATACGAATCCCGAGACGGAGACGAAGTGGACCATTGGAAAACGGCCCAGAGCTCTACCAAGTGACATAAATATAATCAGTCAGTCAATAACAATGTAAATTCTAAATTTTAACAAAAGTTACTTGATTGACTTTGACTGTTGGCTAGAGTAAGAAGGTTAAACATGGCATTCTGTAATGCCACGAACCGAAAATTTATCTTGCCCAAGATGGAGATGCCAGCCACAAATTAACAAAGCTGCAAATTAGGTAAGAGGCAACCTGGTACATTTAGTTATATTTTCCAATGCATATTTCTATTTATAGTCCTGAAGAAGAAATTACGACTTAAATTAAATGTACATGTATGCTTCACTAATTGAGTATGGAGGTTGTTTCATTACTTAAAATCATGCAGTGTTTCCCTGGCAGTTCCTTCAGTGCCTCTGTTATCATACTCTTGATTGTGCCACCCTCAGTGCAGACAATGATATAATTGAATAGGACGACTATGCTATCACCTTTGGCTTGCAGACCAGTCCAGGGGAAGCTTTGTCTTGGTTCCCCAGTTACCGGTACAACAGCATATATAATGTGATTTATTTCGATACGTTTACGAAAACAGAATGACATGCAAGGTCCCTGGGGACCTGACCAATGGGGAAACCAGCAATATCAAACAGTTTCCCATGTCTTTTGACACTGGTTACCCTCTTGTGGTCACATCATGGAAATTGTGCCAGTTCTGGAATCCATATTAAAGATCCATTTTTCCTTTAATATTTATGTATTCTAATTCCACAGTGAGTTTGTTGGAGGATTTGTAATCGGTGGTCGCACCTTAAAGTTGTGGATTCCCTTTTATCAAACTGTCTTTTAAGGTGACAATTTCCATTACTTACAACTTGTAACTTTTACATTGAAAGATTAATCACCCTGACACCTTGAGGCTGTAGAAAAGATACCACTTTATTACTATGAATGAAATCTTGCCACCGTTGAGAACACGTGACATCATCTTTCCAGCAAGAATGCATCTTTGTTGTGACTGAAACTTGAAGGGGATACAGCTTCAGTTCCTCGAGGCCTTGCAATCATCATACTCAACCCAGCACATCTAAATACCCTCTTCAATCTCTTCTTCATATGTTCTACAACAAACTGGCAAAGTCTTTATTTTGTATGAGTCTTCAGTGCTGTTTTTTTCATCTTGTTTGATTCTCTTTCCCACTTGGAGAGGTACTTCAACCTTGGTTGACTTTCTTTCTTGGCTTTTGCCTTTTCTCAGTTGTACACGTGTCATTTTATGGATACCCTCTGATGAAGTGATGCAGTCTGGCAGTTTGTCAGACAAACAGACTGGTTTGACCTTAACCAGTTCAGTCCTAACTTTGGGCAGCTGTACCAAATTCTGAAGGATGGGCCTGACATGATGAAGGTGACACTGAACCATCACACTGCTGAGCTGCAGATGCCAGCACATCATGACCTGATTTGCCATCAACAGATGGACTATTTTCCTGCTCAGGACATCGAGTGGACAATGTGGAGGAAAAGTTGCAGGAAAGCTTTTTGTTTGAGCTCCTGAAATGTAACAAAGCCTGGTGAGAGGTTTCCATTCGTACCATCTGTGAGCTGTTCCTCATATTGTGCAAGCTTAGGAGAGCTTAAGACAGATGTAAAAACTTCATATACATCTCCTGCACTTGCACTACTGTCTACTTGTACATGTAGGTCTTAAATGCACTCTTACATATGGCTTGGTCAGGCTGTTTTCACATGCTGTGAATGTTAGTGATGGTTTCAGCATAGAATTGATGACTGCTTTTCTATTCACAGGATATATTACTGTTGCCTTGCAGCTGGTGACCACTCTGCCAGGTTTGAAGAATTCAACTTCTACTTCAGCAAGTTTTGAAACAAGCTGTGCTTTGTAATGGGATTTCTAGGATCTTCCTGTATGTACTTATTCACCACCAAACATACCCTTGTCCAAAGATTGCATAAGATGAGTGCTGTTTGGATCAATCCAGTGAATTTCAATCCCCTTCTCTGCTTGATTTTTGGAAAGTGTTGATGTCAAAGTGAGAGCTGACACTGTCCATTAGTAACATGGCTGGCCTCTCTTTGCCTTCACACTGATTAAAGTTATTTTATAAACTTTGAGAAAGTGGGGGCATCCATCTGTCCCTTGTAGGTGTATTCTACATGCACCCCTCTCGTTCCACCAACAAGAGGATCATAGCCACCGAGGTGTTTGGGAGGAATACAGTGAAAGGGAGCATCAGATGTGCCCATGGCATTAACACACAGACACGAAACAGTGAACCTGTTTTGATGGAACTACCTGAGAGATGAGGAACCAGACGAGTCAGCATTGCTGGTGCAACGACTCTTGATGGCTCGCTTCCTATAGTGAAACTTGTCTCATCTGTATTCCACACTCTACATGGTTGGTAGCAGATTTCTGTCAGACAATCAATTTTGTGTACTTTCAAACCAAACTACTTGACCTGGGGGTGACTTTTGCTCTGGATGACTGTAAGGTGGATTCATATTTCAGTGAAAGGCCGGGTCTGACTTTAAATGAGTAATGACACTTTGTAGCCTGGTCTATAATTACAGAACTTTTTTTTCCCCGATTTAGAATTCTTTGCACCAGATCCATAATGCCTGATGAACACAGCCCCACTTCCCTCAGGGCCATTTCAGAGACAACATTAGCAATGCCCTTCTCTTCTTCTGGTTTAAGAACAGGGGAGGGCCCTTTTCAGCTATTAACTTCAACATGACCTTTCAACCTCCTGTGCAAGAAAGAATTCCCTGTGCCATATTTTTCAGCAGTTTTGTTGATGCCATACTTGGTTTCTTGGATCACTTTTCATGCTTTTCTCAAAGCTTGCTGTTTCTCAGGTGATCTATGATATCCTTGAGAATATTTCTGCTTTAACTTTGAAGCTGGTGTTTCCACTTGACTGCACTTTTTACGCATTTGAAAAGCTGGATTTGACCGGACCTTTGGCATTGTCTGTGCAATTAAGAAATTGAATTAAAAACATTAAAATGGAAGATTACATTCATCCACTTTTCAATTTGCAAGGTCCTGAAATGAACACTGGATTGGGATTTTGAAATACAAAAAATCCATCAACAACATAGAAAGTCAACACGTCGAAAATGCCAGAAATGTATGCACATAAAGCTGGTACTGCCCTTTAACAGGCATCCAGAGCTATATTTGCAATGTTGTCAGTACTTTTGTAGAGAGACTTAGACAGAAGCTACAATCATGAAGCTCAGACACACAATGTAAGAAGCTAATCTTAAATAACATAAATGAAGAACATGAACTTACAGGATGATCAATGCACAAGTACCCAGTGTCACATTTCACACTTCACAGGCAGTTTCTGCTTCAAACTTGATTCTGTCGGCCAGCTTTGAGAATACCTTTTGGAATATTAAATCAATATTGATGATAAAATTTAGGTGATTTCCCGTTTTTACATGTAGAGTCTATTTGCTTAAAGGACAGATTTGAATTTTGCAACACATCTTCCAAAATGTACCAAGTGTGACTAGAATATCCACAGTTGAGCATACTAGACAAACCTGTAACAATCTTGAGATACATGTACCTGAAGTAGGCTGACTCATGATGTCCTTAAACGTGCAGGTCCAATGTCTTTGGTAACCCTTGCAGAACCTAGAATGACACTAAAAATCAAGAAATTGAAATTGCCCATAAAAAGATCTGGATAAACTGCTCTTCTTTTGGAATGTTGTTTCTGTAAAAATATAATTAACGCTATGCAAGGTATCGGGTCAACTCGACTCCTGGCCAACTCACTCCTTATAAACATGCCCTTAAGCCGACTTGCCCCCCCCCAGCAGAGTCACCTGCCTGGATAATTGTTTAATTTTAAGCCTAGCAAAATTTGTTGGTGCAAATCCAATTGTGTTTAATTTGAGTTACATATACATGTGTTTTTAAATCCATAATTTAATCTTATACTACAGCCTGTTCTACTTATTTCTCCATCAAAATAAACTGAATGTTATAAATTTTGTTTCAGACATCGAACAAGACAACTGCCTGAAATCTACAATAATGTCGTTATGAATAATTGTTTCACAAATATCATTTCAATACCACTTTTACAATTGAGCTGATGTTTTCCCAAATTGTGTTTTGCCTTTCAGATATCTTTACATTGGCCTATTTTGTGTAATCTATCTTAGATTTTAAACATACGTGTGAGAGATAGCACAACTCGCCACCCCCCAAAAAAATCATTATTTACAAAAATTCCATTTGGCCTATATGAAAGAAAAAGACACAAAATCACAAAATCAGAGCCTATTACCTGAATATAGACCTGCCAAGTCTCGCGCATCCAGCATGACAATCACGCCTCAAGGCTCCTTCTCACGCTGACATGCCTGGCAACCATTTTCTCACGCCTAAGAGCCAGACCGGAATAAAGCAATGCAATTGGCAGCATGGATGACTGCTGCCGCCTACTGTAGTTGGATGTCCACGATACAATATGTACATGTACATAAGTAGAACATGCACTACCGTGCGCGTGTTGTTAGCACACGATCACTAGGTCTATATCTTCAGTAGATGAGGCCACAGCTCCACAGTGCTACATATGCTATTGCTATTATAGAGTTGGTAACATGGTCCAGTATGCGGCTAAATTAGCTACATCATGTAAGCATGCGTATGCCATGCATTGTTTGAAATGAGAAGATGGACGCACACGCTAAAATAAACTGACCAATATCATGGAAAATGGCACCATCTGATAATGGACCATTTTAAATGAGTGACTTTATATTTTTCTGAATTTCGCGCACATTTTTGGGACCCTGTTGTTTTTAAGAATAACTTAAAAATAGGCCTAGTCACTGTAAGCTGATAGGTACCCCTAAGTGCACCAGATCACACAAGGCCTATTTTGAACTAAAAAAAATTGCGAAAGCACCCTACCACTTCGCTCCCTCACATGGAGCCCGCTCACATGCGAAAAAAATTTCATTCCTAGCTCAGTAGCTGGTCTCTGATCTTGGCAGGGACGTAATGAAAAAGCCTAAGGCTCATGACATCGACAGGACCATCGTGTTTTTTAAATTGTTAGGGGCCAATGTTCTAGGTTTGTAGGTTGCATACATGCATGGTCTCAACGTGAAACAATGATGAAAAATGTGACCACTCTACGGATCGATGCATTTGATTTCATCATATTATAAGACTCAATTTGAGGAATTACCTGAAGTGTGTACCACACATGCTGATCTAACCATGCAGGAAGGAAAACAGAATTTATGTACACACGTGCAGGCTGCACGTTGTAGCAATGAATGATCTGATTCGGGTTAAAAAAGTGCGCCCTCAATAGTCACATCATGAAGAGAGTTCAACATGGCGCTGCCTATGGCATGCTACGAACAGTAAGAGTTTCAACCCTCATGCCTTCAGTATTCAAGGGTGCGTGCCTTTATTCATGTTATGCTCAGAGTCTGAGTGCAGTTCCAATAACAGAGATTTTATTTTCCATAACTGCCAATGTGAGTAGACCAAGGGACCATAGTTAACTTACACCATGCTCACACAAACCCTGACATGACTGGCACAATCTTACATACATGTACATGTCAGTAGGCCAGCTAGGCCACAGTTAGCTTGTGGTATAGGCCGACTCGTAGCTCCACACGTAGGGCTGTAGTGGCTCTCTTTTACAATCTGTCTCGTATCTGTTTCAAGTTCAAGGCATGACTTTAATGCCTGAAATCCAAACTGCAGGATTGTCACAAACTTTGAATCCTAACCTATGATCTTCTGAAATGACAATGACTCGACAATTTTTCTTACATTTACACCGACGTATTTCTCAGAGTTTGGACTTTTACATGAGCACCCTAAAGCTTTCTAAAACCTATGTCTGTAAGGTTTACTCAAATTTGGGAAGCAAAGAAAAATGTTCCCTTCAAATCGAAAACATTCTTGACTTAAGTTTTAATTAAGTACTTTTGAGTGCTTCAGAGCATATTCAGAATTTCAGAGTATCCTTTTACATATAGGTTTTAGCATCTGCCGTTGATAAGCTAATGCTTATGACTTCAGTTAACATGGTTAAATGCTCATTCATTTATACGGGTACGTCGTTTCTTTATTTTTACTGTATCTTCCCTAAATGTACAGGCTGTAAGAATAGTATTTGTTTATGGCTGGATATAAAGAAATGTTGCTACAAACAAAACAATAGTTGAGTTCCATAATTAATGCTAATTAGTAATGGCTCACCTCAACTTTCACTTGACATTCCTCCTTACAGTATAGCCAAACCTCTGGTTGAAAAAACTTCAAATTCATTTGGTTTATTTTGATACTGGCACTAGACGTACATATATGACCTTCATCATGCATGCTGTTGAACCTTTGTTAACAATATCAGTGTCGTGAAATTCATTTGAAATTCACAAATTGTGGTGTCTGGCAATTAGACAAGACTCCAGCTGAGTGTCCCTGAGTGTTGGGCACATAAAAAAAAATCTCAGAAACTCCAATATACACATATTAAAAGGGTTTGAAGTTAATAAATTATTATTACCTCCACTTGCACACCTTTACAGGTAACAACAAGTTTGTTAGAAAATTATTTTCAAAATTTTGGCATATTTTAAAATAGTTTATTTGCACTGTCAGAATAAAATCGGAAAATCCAGCCAGAAAATTCCATCAGAACTTTTAGGAGGATGGGTAAGTTTGAGTTTTTCGAATCAGAATATCAGAGCTTGTTGAAATTTCACTTATAATCAGTGTTGTAGTCGAGACCATCACAAGACCAGACACAAGACCGTGCACAAGATCATGCACAAGACCAGGCACAAGTAACATGGTGAACAATGACAAAGGAATGCTTTTGTTGCAGTTCATTTGAATAGCTTGTGACTTGAATTCAGACTGGAGGTCTTGTGTTTGTCTTGTGCTGGTCTTGTGAATGTCTTACAGTAAGTGGTCTCGACTACAACACTGCTTATAATCAAATTTGAGGTAACAGTATTGCTTCCCCAAGACATCAGAATTGGAGATGAGTAGAGTTCCATACATTGACATCACTTGACACCCTGTACACAAATCCCATGAGACTGGTCTGAAAAGTTCCAAGTATTTTCTAAGTAAACACTTCAATATCTTCTAAATTAGACATTTATGGACATGTCATCACTTTCTGATGGATGACATACCAGAAGTAGTTTAGGGAAAACGTAGATGACCGTATATGGAACTCTCTCTGATTTTTTTTTCTAGTCGGGCCTTCTTAAAGTTCCGTAAGGCCTATCAAAAGGCAAGAGAAACAAACTAGAAAGTCTGAGCACTGTTGTTCATGTGGTTACAGATTGCTGTCATTCCTTATTCTGGAGCACCACATTTTTGTTTGGTGCTGCAGATGTACTGTAGATATAACCAATCATAATAAGTCACATAGCTATTGTCAAGTGCTGCATTTTCTTTATGCAGTCAACAAAGATCCAACACCATGTACATTTTAAATTCCCCTTTGTGATAATATGAAATAAACTGCAGGACCATCCAGTTTTAAGTGGTTATAATAGTACTGTGCATCCCTTGTCAGCTGGGTGGGGTTCACTCACCCACAAACTTAGCAGGGTGATCCAGAATAACAACTGTTGTAACTAAACTTTCTGCCACAGCTTTACACACTACATGTAAATGGATACCAGGGATTAACTGAGTTTGGAAGTACCTCTAAAAGATTTTGGCTTTTGCTTAGGCTCCTTACCACTTACTGATAAGCTGCAGAAATATTCACAATGAGAGGCCATCAGCTAATGAACCATTGCAAGACGTGGCTTGTGTTCCTTCAATTTGATGGTACCATGACAGCAGAGCCAGCTAGAGCATTATGCACACATCATCATCATTGTGTGTCTAAGATGTTTCAACCATCCTACATCTTACCAAAAGGGATGCGACAGGAAGGGATAACCTGTAAAAGTCAACGAGTAAGTTTCTTGGTTTTAGCATGGCACATTTATCCCTTTTTGGGGGGTTTAGCACCATGGAAACAAGTGTTCAGTGTGAATTACCATTTTTGTTTGTATTAGATAACTGGGGAGCTTACATGTACCTACAAAAATTTGTAGAAGCATGCTTATGTATATATATTGAAAATCAGTCTATGATAAATAACAGACTAGATGAGTGTCCAAATCCACCCACTACTTTTAAGTAAAGGAGTCTAAAAGATTCAGTCTCTATTACAATCATGTTCTGTTTGTTACTACACAGCGTTAAGTTTTGCTAGACCCTAGGAGTTCCAGGGTTCCTGGTTATGTGTGGAATTGCCCAGGGATACACTATGTGTAGATAATTATTGTTGTTGTGGTTTCACATTCACAGCAGACAAGACTACTACATGTAGGAGGATGGAATTTATAGTCGTAGACTCAAAATTACACCCTGTTAATTCCCAAACTCCCAAATTTATGCTATTTTCCACACTCTCTTGGAATCACTCGGAACAGATTATTTTGGAATAACAAATTGAAATGGCAACTCTGACTGAAAGACTGAAATAATTTTAGTGTCTTAAAAACAATGACTAGGAAGCTCAGGAAGGGACAGTGAAATTTTTTAGGTTACTATTTCAATCCCACAAATTGCTTATCATTCTCACAAATTACTAATTGTTTTGCACAAATAGTACATTGTAATTGGTTCACCTGAATTACTAATTCATTTGAAATTTGTGACAACAAAATAGTCATTTGTGGGATCAAAATAATTCTTTGTGGGCTTGAAAAAGCAGTGTGAGCCCCCCTTCCCCTCGTCCCTTTCCAGGCTTCATAAATGACCATGAAAGCCAACATATTTTCCCAATTATGCGTAGCTTATGATGGAGAATGGCTTGATCCGACCAGCAGGCACTGGAATTTTTCACCTTCTACCCTTGGCCCAGAGGGCTCTGGACAAACTCATTAGAGTGATTGAGTCTGAGATGAGTAGGGTTGGAAGTCAGAAGATGGCCATGCCATCTCTTACCTCCTCAGCTTTGTGGAAGACATCTGGTAAGAAGATATGCTTCCTGAAAATGTATTGCATGTTGTTCTCAAGTGACCTCTGATGTGCTTCATTTTGGGCATGCTTTGTGAGAATCCTGAACAGGCTTGTTGCAGTACACGTACAGTACAGTTACATCCATTGTCCATAAATGTATTCGTTGAATATTGAATGCTTATGATTTCAGTGGTACAAATGATTTGATGAGGTGTCAGAAGGATGTAACATGCCAAGAGGCAAAGCAGAGTGGAATGGTACATTGAATGTATCACTGAGTGAAATCATTCGTTCTCTCGCAAGCATGTGAAAAGTGCATTTTTTGTTTTATAAATTTACTTGAATAATCCTTGTCATCTCATTAGCAGCGTACTGGCTATTTCTCACCACTAACTCTGGTTATCCAGTGTGAATTTGCAACAAAAAGTTTTCCAAAGTGCTTCATTGAACTTTACTGCTAGTCTTGCAGATTCTTGTTTAAGTCAAGTACTTTTTGAGTACCAAGTTCTCTGCCACATGTTTAGTTATAGGAAGGAAAAGAGCTGAAGTACAGGGGTGTTTGTTTGTTCATGTACAAAGGTAAGATTACAGAGTTACATGATGACTTCAGACTATCACTGTTTAATAAATATGAAGTTTCAGGACAAAAGTACTCAAAATGTACTTGGCTTGGTACTTTTCTCCTTAAAATGTAAATTTCACAAAACCGGGATTGCCTGAAGTCCTACATTTAGTCTGTAATCTTACCTTTGTGCATTTACCGTCAACTGCCTATGTACTCCAGCTTCATTCCGTCTTATCCAGTTCAATATATTTGGTACCTTGGTACTCGAAAAGTACTTGACTACAGCACTGTTATTAATGAGCATCCTTTTTTGTATCACCAGTGTTAATAAACAGCGATACAAAATTGCTTTGCACCTTTTGTTGTTTCTGCATAATGTACAAAATGCACAACATCACTCTCAATTTTTATGTGTTAGTACTTCCAGATTACGTAAGGGTTTTAAGTACTGAATTTACCTGAAGATGCTCATTGGTGAGGGACTGAGTTGGTCAGAGGGCAAGATGGCCAGGTATTGAGTTGACTGCATTCCTAACAAATGAACGACTAAAATCTTTTCCTCAACAGGTAGATGGGATATGATGGGCAGTGAGCTTTTCAAACTCAGAGACAGGCACAAAACAGAGCTCTGTCTTGGCCCTGTGAGTTCTGTTTCATTTCCTTTGTAATTGTTTATTCATGGGTATTTTTATTAAAGCTGAGTAGCCTCATCAGGCATGGATTTGCTATACATGTAGTGATTTCCTGAGCGTAGCTAGTTTTGCATATGATAAGTTTCTAGGCATGACTGTATGTTGAGCATGGCACCACATCATTGCCACTGCTAAACACTACTTGTGGAAATTCCATAAATCTGGAAAAAACAGCTTTACTTAGAAATCTACACTTTGTTTAATTTCATTGACTACAGACACATGAAGAAGCAGTCACAGATATCATAGCAGCTGAAGGTTTATTGTCTCATAAACGACTTCCAATAAGGCTGTATCAGGTAATCCTGTTGGTGTGTGTTGATAATCAAGGGTTATGATGCTGGAAATAAATTGTAATAATTTCAGTTTGATCAGTTTTTTCAAAACACCTGTCTTCTCCATTTCAAGTTGATAACGGGCAGAGTTTTGTTAGGTTAGCACTACTCTGGTGTCCCAAATAACAGGTTGGGCAGTGGATGAAAAAAAAATGATCATCACAATGAATGGTTTTCTCATTATGAATTCAATCGTAAGGCACAGTGAATCTCACAGATAAAGCTTGAGTTTTTATCAGACAAGTTTAGTGCACAGGCAACATAAATAACCATTGTTTAAAGTTTTATATCAGATGCAAAAACAGTGGTGAGCGCGTGTACATGTATGTACGTTATCAGAACACAATGTACATGTAGGTAACGGGTAGATATGATTAAAAGCACATGTAGACATGTCCATGTACGTGGCTACGTTGGTGTCTGGGCAAGTACACGTACATGTACCGTTCTTGTTTTCAAAAGCTGGAGCATGGACATCAGATGATGGTTACAGTCACATCGGCCCGCACAAGTGACGAGGGAAGTCTTGTCTCAATTCAAGTGAAAAATAGCCTGTGATTTGGCTTGACACTGGACGACTTGTGATAGACTTGCGGGGACTTGTGAAGACTTGTGATGGACTCCATTTACTGTCTGCATGTCTAGACTATGTGAATGATAACCATAATAAACAGCACTGTGAGTAAAGATATCAGCAGTGCCAACAGACGACATATGGGCCATCCAACAATGAGATAAAATCTACCATTTCTTTTTGCCCTATCCCAAGTCCAAAATGCAAGTACATGTATCTTAAGGGCATTAATCAACAGACCACTGTTTAAACTTGGCATAAAGTCTTTATCCTTTTTTTTTTCTTGTTTCAGATCACAGCAAAATTCAGAGATGAACCACGGCCAAGGTTTGGGTTACTGAGAGGAAGAGAGTTCATCATGAAAGGTATGAAGCTGTCTTATACTATTGTGAATGTTAATGAGATGGTGTTGTACTTACTCATAATGGACTTGGTTTTATCATTGGTTGATTTATCCAACAGATTTATATACATTTGACTCTAGCGAAGCGACAGCTTTGGACACATATGACACTGTCTGTGATGCCTATACAAGGTTGTTTAAGAGACTTCAAGTAGACTTTGTCAAAGGTATATATTTCTTTTTCACCTTTTACATGTAGCTCTCTGCCTAAGATTATAGCTTACATGTATACCATCACAGTTCCTGCTACTTCTGGAGTACACTGTATTTCAGAAAAAAGAGCATCTTTATTACAGCAGTCTTTGCAGACAGTTCTAAGGAATCCAAAAGCACAAATGAATTTTTAAAAATTCTTGCTATATTAAAGCACTATAAAGCAATATAAAGCACTTCCTATCTTTTCTTTAACTTAGGCCATAGGGGCCACAGATCAATCAAATAATGACTTTACAAAAGAATTTTTCTCTGCATTCTGTATTCAACATGTACCTTATGCCTTTGGATGTCTAGTTGTCGGAGACACTGGCAGCATAGGGGGCAGTCTATCCCATGAATACCACCTGCTTGCAGAAACTGGAGAGGATGAACTGTTCCAATGTGATAAGTGTGGTCTGGGTGCGAATGCAGAAACAACAGGTGTGTGGAATGTGTTTATGTAAAAGAAAATACAGTGGTTTGTCTTCTAACTTAATAGTTTTCCACAACCGTGTGTAACAGCCTTGAATCTAAGTGTTGCCCCGTGAGATTGGGCTGGGTTATGTGACATTGGGCTGGGATGCAATTGGGCTGGGGTGAGATTGGGATGGGCTGCGATTGGGTTGGGTGCGATTGGGTTGGGTGCAATTGGGCTGGGATGCGATTGGGCTGGGGTGAGATTGGGATGGGCTGCGATTGGGTTGGGTGCGATTGGGTTGGGTGCAATTGGGCTGGGATGCGATTGGGCTGGGGTGAGATTGGGATGGGGTGCAATTGGGCTTGGGTGCGATATGGCTGGGATGTGATTGGGCTGGGGTGAGATTGGACTGGGGTTCAATTGGGCTGGGGTGAGATTTTGCTTGGATTAGTTTTAATAATTTGCTAACCCATGTCCCACACTCACCCAAACAAAGGGGAAAATAGCATATAGAATTTTTTATTAACACTGAAAATCCTAAAATTAAGCAAGATAAATGGAAGTTTGATTGGGATTTTATTGAGTGATCGATAGAATCGAGGGATCATGTGAGATAGTGTGGCGTGACCATGTGAGTTCATTTTTTCAACGGTGAAGACCTTATCCCCTGTCAACAGAGTGGGTCTTGACTTGTGATATGAGTAATTAACGTGTTGTGGAGGGCACATGATCCCTCGGTTCTGTTGATTACTTGATAGAATCCCAATCAAACTTTGATTTATCTCCTTTAATTTTAGTATTCTACCTCATGCTCGATATTCACCTCAAGCCCACGTGAGATTTCAAAGCAGGATAATGTATGAGCCAGGAAAGAAACCAGTACTCACACTGCTTCAAGTAACATCACTCAACATGTTTATTAGACGTGCTATTTGTCTGTCTCCTGTTGACAGACTGAAGTATAACTATTCCATTCCACATGTCGTAGGCTTATTAACCCTAACAGTCCCAAATACTCCAATTTCAATACGATTTTACATACACCTTAGGGGGTTAGGGTTAAAGCATAAACTATGACAAAATAATAAATTTTTGTTACAATTTAAACCATGGGACTTTCCCGTGGATTTGTAACGCTTAATAGTTGTGGGTAATATGAAAATATGTCATGAGTATTATGCCTTTATGCAAGCAGTCCCCTACAAGTGAAGGAACACCAAGGGCAAAAGAGTCAGTTGCTGACTGCAAATGTGGCTTCATTGTTCCATCCTGCTGTTTTCAGTATGTCATTTCTATTCACATCAGCTCTTTAAGCTGCTGATACTGTGGCTGACCTGGTGCTGTGTGCTTCAACCACTGACACATCAATTCCTGCCTTAGTACCGCATTAATCCATTTGCATATGGTTTCCTTAGTAACCGTCTTATGAAGTTTAATGTGGGAAATAAACAACTGAGTTTCCTCATACTTATATATTACTTATACTTATGTATTCTTCCAAAGTGGCGACAACACAAATGCTATTATCCAGCAAATAAGGCTTCATTATAAGCTTAACATCAGATAGTCCAAGACGGCTCTGCTTTATCCTCTGGAAAAAGACAGTGTTAACCTTATCAGACTTTGTCATATTCTTAATATCTGTCAGGTTTGGCATCTTTGTGCCGAGACCAAAGCAATCAAAGTAATCAACTTAAGGGTTAAATCTTTTAAAGTCAAATCTGGTAAGGGATATTTTTTTAATATCTCAGCCTTCTCAGGACAATGCTAACATTCCAGACTTCTGTATACATGTACTTTGTTGGAGGTGGTTGTAATTGGAATACACCCTTGTTTATGAGTCTTTCTATTTCCACATCAAGGCTCATTTTTCTGCCTCATGCAATTGAATTTCTGAAGTCTGACATTATGGGAAAGGTATTTTCCCTTCGTCAAATTCAATATGACAGTTTTAAACCGTAACACAGACTTGCCTATCAGAAGTTATTTCCCCCTAGGAGGTAACAAAATCCTTTAAACGACCCACTACAGTAGTTTCTATCAGGTAATGATCTGAAGCTTGGCTTACCTCCTTTATTACTTGTTCTTTGTGTTTAACTGTTTGCCACTCTGGTAACGCTGATAGCTGAAGTTGTATGGCAGTTGTACAAAAACCCTGGCTATCACCTCTGGCACCCCATTACTGGTGGCCACCCCTGTCATAAGACCTGTGTCCTGACCGCCTTCTAGCTTGTCCCCATGGGAACTTGCTGCAAATTTTAAGCCAACTTTATTGACCTCCGACATATCCTTGACTTGTTTGGGGAGATCATCCCAAAAAAGTTGGTCAGTGAAGTGAACTGTGGTGTTGCAAAGATGCTTGACACTCGGATTGATATCTTGCTTGATAATTGGCATTAGCTATAAGAGCGATTGCATCTGTTGCCTTAACAGGGCAGTGACTTTATGTCTAGTTTGTCCAGCTTTTTTGCTGTGGATGCCTGAAGTATGTGTTCAGGAAACTGTAACACAAGTAGCAGTGACTTCACTGAAGTTTGGGAATGTTCACATCCTGGTAGTAGGTATTGTTCGTCATGTTGGTGGAATGAGTTTCTTGTAGGAACTACATGCTTGCAGTTCTTTGGTCTGTTGTAGGTTTTAAACAAATCTTTCAATTTATCTTCAGACAATTTATCCCGCTTGACAGAGTTTGACATTGATGCTAACTGGGCATGCACTGAGTCACAGGTCTGTTCATTTATTTGAAAATCCTTCACCTTGTGGGCAAGTAAGTCATTTTGCTCAGAATTATCTGATGATGATGCAGTCATGCTTGGTATATCAGAATACGTCTCCTCAAGCAATCTGGTGATGCATGTGTGTGGCCAGGGTCACCGAACTCGGACAAAGGGAACATGGCCTTGTAACAAAAGACCGTACTCGGAACAAAAGACCAGGCTGCTGGGAATTACCAACATTTTTTCACTCTCAAAAGTGGAGATAATCCAGCCTTATTTTGAAACAGTATACCACAGTTTGGGGCATTTAGAGTGAGCGGATTAGCACCGGGGACAAAAGCGCTCCACCACGGCAGTGATGAGCCACACAGCACTGCTGCATGCTAATCTGGCCCCATATTGAAAAGAGATCAGTAGCACATTGAGCCAGGTTTGTGAACAAAAGAAAGTTATATAACATCGCACAATCTGGGCTCTTTTTACAAGGCTGCAGGCCTGGCTGAAATATTCGGGCATCAATAGATTTTGTCTGTCGGGCTAAAGTGGACACCAGACAGTCCTTCACGTGTTTGTAAGTGCCCAGTAAATGAAGATAGAACTTTTAAAGAATTTTGAAAACAGAAAAAATAATAAATATCCCACCCCAGCATCATCAACATTGATAACTGCCCCGATAGGAAGTGGTTAGGGTCAATGCCTCCTCGGGGCTCACAGTTGACTCGCCTTGCTGAATTGGGTCAATGCTGTAGGCGCAATGAGCAGTAAATAATACAAACTGTGGACATATTATTGTCAAGTCTGTACGTCGTAAGGTCCACCAACACAATGAACTCACATGTTTATGGCCCACTATCTCGTGGTCTCAAGGTGAATATCAAGAATAAGGTAGAGTGTTTTATTTCAGAAGGGACCCCCCCTTTGGATTTTTGACAAAGAGTTCCGCAGAGCTTGAAATATTGGAGTACTGGACTGGGTGAATGCTAGATTTAAATCAGATTCAAAGTCAGACTTCCATCAAATATTGATTTGAATTGTAATTTTATGGACAGAAATGAGAACATTGACACATACTTTTGTTAACTTTAACCTTGTCAAATGTACTCTAAACTTGAAACCCCAAATATGTGTGCAAATGGTCAAGTAAAACAAAACTCTGGACTTGCAAATTTGGGGGTTTTTTTTACATGTGTTGTTAAGCAGATTTTAACTTGATTTTGGAGGTCATTTAACCTCATTTTTGAAATGCAGATATGGAAGTTCATTTCATACATTTAAACCTGTCTAATGAAGCATACTTCAATTCACCAATTTACCAACAGTGGGAGGAACAAGACCATCCTGTCCAGAGAAGTTAGATGAAGTTGGATGCCCAATGAGATTAAGGAGAGGAATTGAAGTGGGTCATGCATTCCTTCTAGGAAGCAAATACTCCAAACTCTTCAAGGCTTGCTACGCTGACGCAGCTGATAGGAAACAGTAAGTCTTTACTGTCAAATTTTCACCATCTTCAGGAATTAAAACACAAGTTCTGTTTGGGTACACAATCATGAAAACTACACAATGAATAAGTTTACCCTCACAAATTGGCATTAATGTGAGCATGTGCACATGCACTTCTCAAACTGACTTTTAAGATTTAAAGATTTTGGTTTTATCAACTAATACTCAATTCAGAGGAAAATGCTTTTAAAAGTTTAACATGAATTTGCTCCATTTGTATGCATGTCAAATACAATGGCATTCAACCCAATACCTTTCTAAATCAGTTTGTGATATCAATGATGAAATTATTTACATTGACACGAACAAACAATTTGTAGCTGTTTTTGGAGCTGGACGTATATGTTTGTGTTCAGGGATGGAGAGTGCCTACAGAAATTTAGTTAAACCATGGTACTTTTTTTCTGTTTTGTTTTACCCACCAATGACATAACATACAACATTTGCATACTCAGTGCTGACTGACTCACAAACTTGTTGGAGTGTATTATGAACCTGTGACCTGCTGCTTACCAGTCAGGGTGCAGAGCAATGGTGAATCTTTTTGTAGGCTCATAGAGATGGGTTGTTATGGTCTTGGAGTCACCCGGATTCTAGCTGCATCCATCGAGGTTTTGTCCTCTGAGGATGAGATTCGTTGGCCTCAAATCATTGCTCCATATCAAGTCTACATCATACCTCCCAAGGTAGAATCTGCAAATCTAATTTCATATTCTTATGTAAAAGTATGTGCCGTTACTGGGCCAGATCTTAGGCGTTATGTTTTGTGTTCCAGTCAACAAAATTTAAAAATAAAATTTCAACACTTTATGCGTAATGTAGAACTGATTCTGGCCGAATTTGTGTAACTTTTGTATGACTGTCATTTAGCCTGTACGTACTCGGGAGTCATTCCTGCTTAGAATCATCCAGAATCCTCTATAATTCATCCCAGTGCACAACACAAATGACCACATTCTTTGTTATCTACTGCAACTTTCCTCGATCCTACAAAATTCTCCAAAATGTCCTGGCAGATTTTTAAGGGATGTGGAAGAGTCAGAATCAGTGAAGTGACTTTGATCACTGTAATTGAATTTTGATCTGTTTGATTGAATTCAGAGGAAAAGCAAGGATGAAGCTGCAATCCCATTGGCTGAGACATTGTGCAATGATATCACCAGTTGCATCTCTAGACTGCAGGACGAATTGCTGTTGGATGACAGGGATCAGCTGACCATAGGTCGAAGGGTCACTGATGCAAAGAAACTTGGTTACCCATACCTCATTGTTGTAGGTAAAAGAGTAAGTAACATTGAAGTTGTATTTTACTTTGTCTTCTATGGAAACATTTGTAGTTTTAAAATATAAGCTCCAACAGTACAAACTCAAAGACAAGTAACATTTTTAATGTTAAATTGTTACTGAAGCATTCTCTCATAAAAGATGAATGATATCTGTAATAAATTTAGTTTGCTTTTGCATCTTGTAAATAAATTTTGTTCATTAGTAACATGCTTTCATTGTTTTTCTTTGTTTTTGATTTCTTTCAAAGGCACTTGAAGCAGAACCATTGTATGAGCTACATGATACGCAACGAGGAACAATAGAATGTGTCTCCAAAATAGACCTTTTTAAAACTCTTGAGTCCAGAAGTGTTGTATGACCATAGAAGATTCCTTCCTTTGAGTCAAGTTAGAAGAAAGTTGAGTCTTTTTGGAACTGGCCTCCTACAAAGGAGTATCTGATCAAATCTCAGAGATTCACAGATTACTGGTGTTGCTGTTTATTTATGGTTAGGTTACAATGCTCCTCATCCCCTTCTCATTTGGGATGTCAGTGGATCATTTGTTCTGACCACAGTAACAAATTCATGGTGAACCATATAACATAGAAACAGTGGTAAATGAGCACTCTAGTTTTAACTGTTTCTATGACAATGCTTTATGATCAATAAAACTAGAGAAAATCTTTGAAAATTAAAACTAGAGAAAATCTTTGAAAATTAAAAAAAAATACATACATGGTTATCCATAGAAGTAAAGTTGTTTCTCAAACTTTCCAGCTTGACTGGAATTACCCAAACCCATTTACTTTTGGATATTGTCTTCAGTGTCAACATTTAGTATGAGACATAAATCTCCATTTATCTGTGATTTCATCAAATGCAACATATTTCTAAAATAAAAGAGTAACCGCCTCAATTTTTTCTCTGGGATTTGTGCATACTAATGGCAATTCTTACTTTTAGGACCTCTCTCCATTTATAACGTAAAACGAGCTTGCCCTCTCCCATCAAGTGCAAAAAAGTGACAATTAAAACTTCACATTCTCTCTAAATACTATGTCTTCCTGTGTAACAAACCAATACATGTACAGTGTGGGCTAAGGTGGTAATTTAGGACTGATGCATAAAATTACAAGCTGGAAAAGGCTTTCAAATTGGAGGTTTTGAACAAAATACTCCCAGTTGGAAGCCACAAGTCCCAAATACTTGATTTATAGAAAATAACTACAATTAGTGCTTGCGGCACCTCTTTATCCTATCCCATGGGAATGACAATATTTAAGAGCACCTCTAAGGAAACGTGTTTTCTCTGATGTATCTGTTTAAATAAATATGGAATCATCCAAATGAAATGCAGTGTTATTTGTCTTCAGACCTGAACTACAGTATAACAGGCTTTTTTCAAGGGCTTTTTTTCCTGTTCATGCCAAGATATTAACATTAACGTTCATCGTCTGAATGACATTTTTGAAAGTGTTGGGTTAGTTCAAAATGTAAATACCCCGACTCGTTCAGTGGGCCATATTTTAGATGTAACCATTTCTACAACTATAGCCTGTATGTCTGGTAAGCATGTAGTGGATGCTGGTGTTTCAGTAGTCAAATTACATGTTGTCAGTACTGGGTTATCTGATCATTACCTTCTTTTATTTGAATTACCTGTTGTAAGGGTTGATAGGGAAGCGTTCTTACACGACGTTACTCTGGCCCATGAAAAATACACCTCTACGCAGGTTTCTGAATTAGCAGATAAATTGAAGGAAGCTCTTTCTCCAGCCCTGGATAAACATGCACCGGCGGCGCGGACTGTGCATCCAAAACGTCGTAAGACCGATCCGTGGATGACCAATGAGGTTCTGGCTGCACGCACGTTGCGCAGGCAACTAGAGTCACGCTGGCGTGCAACTAAGTTGACAGTTCACAAGGAGATTTTCACCAACCAAGTGAAAGCAACAGACGCCGCTATTAAAGAGGCTAAGTGCTTGTTTTATGCTTCAAACTATCAAACAAACAAAATTCTCAGCTTAGCTTTTTAATGCTTTTGTGCCCTTGACCAGAAATTTGCAGTGTTCCGTTGAGCAGAAGTCTACAGCCTCTAGTGACATGGGTTGTGCTATGCAGTTGGCTAACTGTTTTCTTTTTCTTTTTAAATAAAATAGACGTTAAACTGCAACATCTGCGTCAATTTACATGTAAATGACATGTTGAACCATCTCAAAGTATTCCGATATCTAAGTCGCGTTTGTCTGATTTTCGACTTGCTTCAGCCTCAGAACTGGCAAGAATTATTAGATCCACGTCCGTTAAAACATCCTGGTTGGATCCTATTCCTTGTCAACTGCTTAAAGATGTTCTCCCTAATTTGTGATCAATGTTGGTTGATTTGATTAATTGTTCATTGGCATCGGGGGAATTCCCTGATAATATGAAAGGTTCCATATTTACGCCAATCCTTAAGAAACAAGGGGCCGACTCGTCTGATTTGAAGGATTACCGACTTGCCTCGAACCTTTCATATTTTTCGAAGCTTGTTGAGAGCGTAGTGGCCGCCAGGCTTCAGAGTCATCTTACATCCAATGACTTGCATAATGTCAAACCAGTCTGCACATCGTTCTGGTCATGGTGTGGAGACCGCTATGATACATTTCCGTTACTAATTTGGTGCTCTGTAACTTTGATAGTAAGGACGGAGTTGCTATGGTTCTAAAATTGTCGGCTGCCTTTTACACTATTGATCATCAGATTTCAATTGATAGAGTGCATAATGTGTTTGGTATTTATGGAAAAGCCTTTAAATGGTTCGAGTCATACTTGCATGATCGTAAATTCAGAGTCAAAGTTGGTTCTAGTGTGTCTGACTTCCACGATTTGAAGTATGGATTTCCGCAAGGTAGCGTTCTCGGGTCTGTGCTTTTTTCGTGTTATATTTATCCACTGGCAAAGATTATCGATGGTCATGGCATTTCTGGGCATTTTTATGCTGATGAAACACAGTGTTAGCATGCTGTGAGTTTTTCTGATGCTTCAACATTATCTGTTGTCACAGCAAAACTGGAAACATGTCTCAATGAAATTCGTCACTGGATGATAGAAAATAAGCTAAAAGTTAAAACTCAATGATTTGAAAAGTGAATTTCTTGTATTGCAATCTGCACATCAGAAACATTATATTCTAAATGATGTCTGTGTTAAGATCGGTAACAGCAATTATCTATCCTCATGAATTTGCCCGCAACCTTATTCGATTGTAACTTAATTTTTCATAGGCATATTTCGCAGGTGGTTTCTATTTGCGAAAGATCGCTGCTGTTAAAAAAATGAATGCCCAGCGAACTTCTTGTCAGCATTGTCCATGCCTTTATAACCTCACGGTTGGATTTTGGCAATGAATTATATTATGGTCGTCCTTTGTATGAGTGAAATCATCCCCAGAAGCTTCAAAATCAAGCAGCTAGATTGTTAACAAAGAAGAACGAACATATTTCACCAATTCTTTACCGTCTACACTGGCTCCCTGTTCAGCAGCGGATTAAAGTTATTTAAATTTTTTAATATTTGCTTTCAGAGCCATTTGAAGCACTGGACCTGCTTATCTCAGTCTTCCACTTAAACAATTCAAACGACAAACTAGAGCTAATTCAGCTCCAATTCTTGGATGGAAACGTCCAAAGAAAGTCAGTGCCGGAAATACAGCGTTTAATGTCTGTGCCCCTTGGCTCTGGAATGACTTGCCTGTGTCGTTAAAACAAATCACACTTTTCTCTGATTTAAAGCGAATCTTAAGACCTATTTTTGTAATGGAGCATTTGGAATGTTTTGTTAGAGATTTAATGTGTACGGTATATTACGTGTAGTTGTAATATTTTTAATGTAAAGCGCCACTGACAATTTAGTTTTAAGTGACGCTATATAGAAATTATTATTATTAAGATGCGACTTCTGAATGTAGATGGCGTCATTTGGAGAAAACGAAGGGAACCCTGACCCTGTGTTCGTAGTGGATAAACCCTTGTACATGCCAAACAATGCATGTAGTAATTAGCAATGACAGGGAAAAAAGCCCTTTTAAACTTCTTTTACTTGAGCGCTGAAGACGAATGACACTGCGTTTGATTTGGATGCTTCTAGGTAAACAGACAAAACATATTCTCCTTTGGGGTGCACTTTTAGCTGCGCTGACGCACTAGAACAGAGATATCTAGTGATTTGTATCCAGCAATCGACTGTACTTTGGACAGTTTTAATCTGTATGAATGTTACGAGTCCAGCGCAAGTGTACCACTATTCTAGAACACCTGTTGAGAATTACTACATGTGTAAGATTGCTGCCTTTTCTGATTTCTCGCAGAAACATAGCTCGGTTGATTTTGCATACGTAAGAGTTTTCTGTTAATGTTAATAGCTTGATGATTGGCAGAAAAGACTAAAATGTATTCCCTGTGGAATTAATTAATTAATCAAAAATTACGTGAAGATATCAACTTCTGTTAGTGGCAAAACTAGGGGAAAATACCCTGGAGGGAACGAACAGAATAATCTGCTCTCCTCTCTAAAAGCAAAAGAGTGAAAAACTCACTCTTTGAAAGGGTGAGTCTCTTGTGAATCAACTATAAAAATGTGTTAATCATTCTACAAAGAGTGGAAACTACTTCAAACGAGTGAAAACCCTTCCAAAAGAGGAGCCATATCAAGAACATAAAAAAAACTCTTTCCGAGTAGTCTGTTATATGGCTCCATGGACAAGCAAACATTTTTACTCTTTTGGAATGGTTTTTCACTCTTTTTAGAGTGCATTTTACTCTTTTAGACTGATTTTTCTGGGTTTTTTTAAGGAATTAACTATTTTTGAGCTTGAGTTTTCCTCTCCTGCATTTACAGAGTGGGGGCAGAATTAACAGGATGGGGGACAGTTTTTAGATAATTCTGACCCCGCACATTTTGACCGGAGGGCTAGGGCGGATTCAGAAAAAAAAAAGAAATTGCAGCGGGGAGCAATGTTACTGGGGGCACAAATTGGGGATTTTTGTCATAATACCTTTATGATCTTACTAGGGGGCGAGGTTACATTTTGCGGCCTTTTACCTATAAGCAACCCCATTGATCTCCATTAGAGCAATGGGTTGCACCACGTTCCTTGACATGGTATGGGCGCGCTACAAGTTTCTTCAACCAACATGGTGTGGTGATTTGCCAGATATACGCTCGCGTCAGGCTGCACAACAGTATTATGCACCCTTAGAAAACAGTGCAAAATCGGTCGGAAATAGCGCAGCCTGGTGCCTTCCCGGGAAGACGTTGACCCTCCCGTGTTTCACTGGAAATTCAAGATTATGGTGAGAAGTTCGGTTTTGTTTTCAATTTTTAAGAGTTAGCGATGAGATTTTTAAAAATCGCCCTCCCCCATAACACCCTTAAAATAATGTGTAGGCCTAATAAAACTATGCGATCAGCTAGCCGCCCGCCTCGAGGCTCTATGCAAAAATAGTCCCACATACTGTAGGTTGGAGGGGTTTTTTTTGTTAGCGATACTTGTTGGAAGCCACGAGTCCCAAATTCATGATTGAAAGAAATGTCTCTATGATCAGTCCCGATTATGGCACCAATAGTCTTAACTCGAGGGATTATATCATACTCATGAGTACGCCCACAGGAATCAAAGCCTGGCTGCAACCGTCAAGTGAAAAAAAATGCGCCATTGAGTGCGACCGCAGTTACACAATGCATGTACACGTCGGTGGCGCTAGACGTAAATCAAGTTGGACTTACCTTGCTCTTCCCCAGTCAGCCATCCCTTCAGCCTGTACGTACAGAATACACGGTCGTTGCACTCGGCCCGGCAGCTCGCATAAGCCTTTTAAGGCACCCTCATTTTGATACCCTTTATTGTATATGGTCATCATGTCACCGACCGACGACTATAGTTGACTTTT